AGATAAAATTGTGCACATTGAACTGCTGGAAAGAATACAAATGAATCACCAATCCTACAAAACAATAAGTATTGTGATCGGTTTAAAGGATAGAAAATCTAGATGAGACTTGATAGAATATCTTCCAGGTCAGCACATCAAGAATCTTGAGAGGTCACCTCGAAGGAATTAGATAAAGAAAAGTGTAATAAACAGCAAGAAAAAAATCTTTCCAAACAGAACTGTCAATAACTAAAAAAGCAGCTTCATCGATTGTTAGGTCCTAATATTATTCCTCCCATCCTAGTCAGAAATTGCAGCTTCGTATTGTCTCGCCCTCTCTTCTATATTTTCAAAAAATCTATCGCCACGGGTAAGTTTCCAGATTATTGGAAACTATCTTATGTCACCCCAATATATAAATCGGGTAGCAAGTCAGACGTCAAAAATTAGCGACCTATATCTATTCTCAGTACTATACCTAAGGTTTTTGAGAACATTATAACAGACTACCTATGACTGTTCTGGCATCACACCGGATCATCAATGATTTTTGTGCTGGGAAATCAACTGAATTAACTCTAGTTACCTACGTCGATTTCCTGTCGGAAACTTTGGAGAAGGGTTACCAGATTGATTCTATGTACACTGACTTTTCTAAGGCTGTTGACAGGTTCGAAAGCTCGATAAATATGGCATAAATAGAGTCCTACTGCAATGGATTTTTAGTGTTATACAAGTTTTTGGCATCGCAATTTATTCCAACTCAACTTTAACAATTATAACGTCTATCATAAAACAAAACTGACGTCAGGATCATCCTTATATAGCTTGCTTGACCCTTCTCAAACTGTTATCTAGAATATTCTTGACGGGTAATGCCACTTCCAGACATTTCTGGACTATTCTATCTTCTTTTACTTATGATGACCGCAGCACACTGTAGGGCGATGAGTATGTTATGTTATGTTGATAATGGGGTGTTAATACACTGCGACCTAAAAGATCTATTGTGCTCCCTTCTGTCGCCACTGCACTAAGGAAATGTCTCAATGCCTATAGCGGCCCTTCCAATCCTATTTTCTCAAGGAAGTGTAGGATTTGAAGTGGCTTCAAGTTAGGTAAGTCTCCCTCTTCTATTTGATATCCTCCTAGATATAGTGCCCTTGGATTCTGGAGTGCTACACATTCAGTTAGGATGTGAATGGAGGTTTCGTCCTCCTCCTCACAGAATCTGCACTCACTATCCTCTACTACTCTCAGTTTACTTAGGTGTCCTTTTAGTCGGCAGTGCCCGGTAAGGATCCCTGTTACAATACGTAGCCTGTTCTTGCTCAGGCAGATGCAGGCTTCCGATCTTTTTTGGTTATATTCACCCAGAAGTATCTTGGCCTGTCTCAGCCCCAAGAGATTGTTCCAATTATCGGTTCTTCTACTACCCAATTCTCTTTTAATCTCTTCTAATATTATGTTACTGCTGATACCGCAGAACGGCTCAGGTCCTACAAAGGGTGTTTGAGCCCCTTTCCTTGCAAGACTATCTGCAATCTCGTTAGCCTGTACCGCGTTATGTCCCGGGACCCAAGTGAGAGTAACTCTATTTTACTCGCCTAGCTCATTCAATTGTTCTAGGCATCTCCATACCATTTTTGAGCTGATTACATAAGAACTCAGCGCTTTGATGGCTGCTTGACTATCGGACATGATGATAATCTCTTGTCTATGATAGTTTCTCTCGATGTTAAACTGGATACACTTCTCGATGGCGTGAATTTCCGCCTGGAAGATGCTTGGGTATTTTCCCAAGCTTTCGGAGTGCTTGGTTCTCGGCCAATACACTCCTATTCCAGTTCCTTCTATGGTTTTGGAACCGTCCGTGTACCACTGAATAGCACGTCTTTCGGTTGCAAGCGCGATGGATTCTTGGCTCCATTCTTTCTTGCAGCCCAGCTCTGTGGTTTTGAAGTTTTTCACAAAACTGTACTTCTTTTGCATTTCATCCTGGGGCATGTCCCAGGTATCTTTAGTCCTGAAGCAAGTAGACTTTCGTCTGATTACTCCGCTCCTGATCATTCTATATCGTGTCCTTTTTGCCACATTCTCTATCATCAAATGTAGAGGGGTGAGGTTTAAGATCACCTCCATTGCGGCCGTAGGACAGGTTCTCATTGCACCAGTAATGCAAACACAGGCTAGTCTTTGTACTTTTGAGATATTAGCTCTCGTAGTAACTAAACTAGTTCTGTTACTCCAGGCTATAGCCCCGTAAGTGATGATTGGTCTCACTATTGCAGTATACATCCATCGCAGTATGTTTGGGTTACATCCCCATCGTTTACCCGCCATGTTTCTGCATACCATTAGGGCTTTTGTGGCCTTATTTACTACTTCCTTCTCATGTGTGTTCCAGAGAAGTTTGTTGTCCAGGGTTAGGCCTAGATATTTGACTTCATTTTTCCATTCTATATCTATCCCGTCTAATTTAACGGTTTTGAGATTAAGTTTTCTTTTCCTTGAAAAGGCTACTAGTGTTGTTTTTGTAGGATTTATACTAAGTCCCACTTCACGGCACCATCTTTTGGTATGTTCTAGTCCTCTTTGTACTATATCACACAGGATATTACTAAACTTGCCACTAGCAAATATGACTATGTCGTCGGCATAACCTTGACAGGGTATGCCGAGGTCAGTCAATCTGCATAGAAGTTCGTCTACGATTAGGCTCCACATTAGTGGGGATAGAACTCCTCCTTGTGGACATCCTCTGGTTGTGCAGATGGAGATGGTGTCCTGCCCTATCTGTGTCTCTGCAGTTCTCGAAGATAACAGCTGAGCCATCCATCTGGATGTGATGAGTAACATTCCACTTCTTTTTCTATCTGTACGTTTCCTATAATAACTGCAGGCTACTGCAGGGTGCTGCGTAACAGTAGTTATCTTACGAACAGAACTCAACTGGTTAGAGTAAACCATCACTATTCTAACTCATTTCAAGTTATTTCAGGATCTCACTTTGGTCCTTTATTAATCAACTTATTTATAAATGACATTATTCATTGTTTTCAGTATGGCAACACACTATTGTTTTAAGATGATTTAAAAGTTTTCTTAATTATTAAAACCATTTATGATGCCCTCTGGCTTCAGTCTGATCTTGATAATCTATGAAACTGGTGTTCCTTAAATGGCATGGACTTGAATGCCATAAAGTGTCATGCCATGCGCTTTTATCGATCAACTACTACTTTTGATTATAACCTAATTGGTCATATTTTAGAGTCTGTTAATCAAATTAAAGACCTTGGAGTTATTCCAGTTCCCACGTTAAGCTTCAATCAACACATACCTAAGGCTATCCATAAATTCATGAAAATGTTAGGTTTTAACAGAAGGCTAACACATGATTTTACTGACACAGCTGCAATTATTAAAGTCCTTTATTGTTCACTAGTCCGACGTCACCTAGATTATTGCTCTTCTGTCTGGTCTCCACATTACATAACACAGCAGAAACATAGAAAATGTGCAACAAATTTCTTAAATACATAGCCTATAAATTGGGTGTCCTTTGTATGGTTTGATAGAGAATTTTCTAAACATTACCTCTTTGGAAACTAGGAGGAAACAGAGAGACCTGATATTATTTTTCAAAATTATCAATGGCAGATGCAGTTGTACTGAACTTCTAACAAAAATAAATCTTTATGTTCCAACGCGCTCAACTCGATAGCAACAAACATTTTATGTACCATTTTATCGTTTAAACCATACTTTAAACAGCTGTATTCCAAGAATGTTAAAATTAACCAACACTCATAACAATCTTGAGGTATTTAACACCCCTTTTCAAAAATGTATAAAGCAATTACTTCTGAAATGGGCTTGCCCGTAAATAAATAAATAAATAAATGTTGCTTGCCTGTTCTTAACAAAATAATTATTAATAAAAAAGCTATAATGATAAGCGTTAGTTTTTCGTTTAGGGTTAGTTCTAGATCGGCTAGTGTAAACACCACTTTCCAAATTACGTATATAAATACGATAAACAGTAATATTAGATACGAGATATTGTAGGGCAACATATCACTCAATTCTTTCGACTTGAAACAACCCAGCCATAATTTTTAGCTCAAATAAACGCAGCACAACTTTAAATGACTTACTATACGCAGCAAAACTTAAATACCTGTTAAATTTCTCGAAACAATGAATGCCCATGGTCAATTATGCAGTTTCAGGTGATATAAAATTATGCAATTTCTATTTTGGTAGATTTTTATCAAAACCCAGTTTTTCTTTTCAAAAAAACGGTTGATTGTTACTAAAAATTATCTAAAAAATGTTGTGTAAGTTATTATAACCATAAAACAAACAAAAAATTCTTATTTATATCTAAAATGTGCAAATGCTTTTTTTTGTGCCAAATAATAAAATCATGGGTCAAAAAACTCCGGTTAATAGTCCTTTGGGAATACCCAATAAATATATTTTCCTTTCTTTAGGATATGTGAGTTTTATTTGAATAAATCAAAATATAATTAAAATAGTAGATACATAATTATCCTTATCCAAATAGTAGATATTAAAAAATAGCTATTTAAAGAATTTATTTCATATTTTTGCACTATACTGTATATCTATTTTTTGATATTTATTCATTGATTAGAGTATCAAAATATTAAAGCTAAAATGCATTCCACCTCCAGCATATCGAGAGTTTAACATGGTGTATATTATTATTATTGTCCAAAAAAATAAATTTTTATATTTTTAATTTATTGGAATTGCACGTATGTATATTTTATGAATGAAAATATGAGTACTGCCAAAACACGAGTCAACACGAGTAGCCAAATAGAATTTCAATTTTTTTTAAAAAGAGTCTAATTTCTTTGATTGTTTTACGAATTTGATTTGGCAGACAATCAGAGTGATCGGCAGCAGTGTCTTTAAAACTAATTTATTTATAGAACTTATGTTATATAATAGTGTGATTTTATACTCAAATAAAAAGAAAAACAGAAGAAACGTTTGTTTTATTTTAATTTATAAAAAAAATCGGGTCGTTTTTTTACTTTTCCAAAGTTGAATACAAAGTTATTAACATTTAAAGCATCCGGGTCTTAGAAATTATATAAAATTATTCGGTCACCATGCTTTCTTCCTGAGGAGGAGTGATCTCCAACAATCTAGGACCGTAGAGAAGGACGTAGGCACAGTGCCAGTCACCTAAAAAATACAAGGGTCTTCAATTCTACAAATATATTCTTTACATTTCCACTTATTCATTGTCAATTTGTAAAAATGTTTAAATTCAGAATTTAGAATAATTTGGCAACTTTGTTGGATAATATTATGAAAGCTTACAATTTGGCTTTTGTAAACAAAATTGGTTTAGTAGTTATTCATCATTAATTTTATCAGTCTTTTGTTTACTAGAAATGTCAAGTGTCACTATATATTTAATTACCGAGCTAGTATTGTTTTCTTTATCAAATATTTACCCAAGCGCAAATGATAGTTGACCCGTTATATGTCGTTTGTTTTACTGATAGATAGTTAACATTTTAATGTTGCAATAATCAAAAGTCACAACCAATATTGCAAAAACCAGGCTCCATACGAGCTGGAACGAATTAATAATATAATTTTACGTACCTCCACCGGATAGTTTCAAAATATCTTCTGTAGTGACAGGCGAAACGTTGTCATCGTCGCACATTATCCATTTGTCATCGGACTGTCTAACCCATCCGACATAATGACCGCTTGACGACGACCTTCCCCTGTGCGTTAAAACAGCTTGTAGAGTGTAGTATCCACTGTTATTACTTCCTAAATCTACGCAAGCAAAATAAAATACATATTAGAAGGGTTTATGTATGGATTTTCACGTTCTGTAATTAAATTAATAGTCATTTATATACTAAGTCAGCAAAATAATTCTTTATTGAACTAGTCTGAGATTATGAGCGAGTAAAAGGCGAGTTCGATAAAGACACTTTGCCGACGTGGTCCATACAAACTTTTATCGCCAACCGAAAATAATTATATTTAATAAAAAAGGATACATTATAACATCACATTTTATAATGACCAAGTAAACAAACAGACAAATAACAGCGAATACAAAACAAAACAGTTACAGACTATTTCTGTCAAACGGTCATGGCTATGTTAATAAATATTAGCGGCAGAAAAAATATTTAATTTTTACTGTGAGATAAAATGTTTGTTTACTTCCGAAAATCGCTATGGTAATGCATGGCTCAACGGTTGGCGATTAAAAATGTCAAATTAGAAGATTTTACAATTTTTTTTATTTGCTGGAATATTGCAAGCTACTTTCTCGTAAAAAAGCCAAATTTAATGAATTTTTTCACGATAAATAGAATAAGTTCTATTTTTCTCTAATTTTACCTTCAGAAGTACCAACTTAGCAAACAACCAACCTATTATATCTGTCGAATAATTTTGTTTTTATTATGTTTAGTCCTACATATTATATAATCATTGTGTTCGGCCCAAGGATACTTAACTTCTCTATTAGGATTGGCCAATCTCATTTAATATGTACGTTTCACTGTGTTACGTCATTACCGGACCAAATATTTATAAATTCTTGTGTTGTTTATACATACGTTTGTCCATGGTTTTTAGTATTTTTTGGATTGTTTTTCTAACTTATTATTTGACTGGAAATTTTCAAGTGTTTTTATAAAGTATTTTGGTAAATCAACTTAGTTTTATTATAGGCAAGTTCTACCCCAGTATAGGTATCAATCAGTACTGACACTCAGAGGCGGCACGTTTGATCTTTAAAAGTAGAACTTTTAGTTGACACTTGACGTTTTCAGGATATGAAAAGTTTTCTTTTCAAGGGCTTGGTTATATCTAGTTGAAATTTTGTTCTGCTACTTTTCAAAAGCTTTTATTGCTTTTTTAGTTATGTGTAAGAAATGGTTATTGAACTTCAAATTATACTGAAAGACAACTTCAAAATCCTTTATCTCAAGATTTAATGTGACATAACAGGTCTTGTGTCTAATGTAAAAAATTAAGAAGCTACGGATCCTTACAACTTAAAATATGCATATGTTGATTTTTATTTACAACTATAATAAGAACCTATTAAAAAGATTAAGAGTATTAGAACATATTTCAACAAATTTCTATAGGTACACATATTTTTGATACCTGATTATCAATAAACAATATGTTCTTTTGGAGTGGCAACATGTTTATTAATACACAACTATTATTTTGTTACAAATATTTATAATTAACATAATTGTTGATATAAGCCCTGTTTGAATTTGAATTCAAACCGCCATGTCAAACAGAACGTTTGACAGCCACAAGAAATAGAGAGTTGAAGTATTTCCAGTACGTTAAGAGGAAAATTTACATTACAAACTGAAAGACCTGCGGGGCAACGGTAGTTTAGTAGGTATAAAAATTACAACTTTAGGGTGGAGCCTAAATACTACAAAATTACTTCCGAGACTAAACAAAATCCGCATTCATTCATAATTTTAACAATTGCCTGTAGATACGAGGGATACGTATTCCAAACTCTAACGCGCGAAATTAAGAAAAAAGAACCGAAAACACCTAACACGGCTGCCGAGTGAGTCAGAGTTACCTAAATTAGGGGAACCAGAATCGTATTTGTTTTTCTCGGTGCATTGCGAGATATTGTTATAACGCAGTTCGATTTTTAGAGGGTTTTACATTATTTTTATATTTTAATTTAGTGAATAGGTTTAGTTAGATTAAATTACATTTAAGAGTATAGAGTTGTGAAATATAAATACAAATAACGAAAAAATAGACGATTGGTTCGAATAAGGTAATATCAATTAATACAGGGTATTTATTGAGTGCCGATACTTAGAGGTGTGAATCCTTTGGGTGTTAAAGTTTTAAGAAAAAAAAAACTATTTTATCATAAGTTTCTTATCACTCTAGATATTTTTATGAAATTTTGCCCAAAAAAAGTGTTTCCACTCATGGTGGGTTCCTACCAAATTTCAACAAAATATCAAAAGCAGTTTCAATATACTGGTTTTTATTTTCTTACCCGAAAAGGGTGCTTTGTACGAAAGTACGTCATAAACCAAATTTGCTCCAAAATAAATAAGGATTTTAAAGATAATTTGGTTTTTAGAAAAAGTAGTGGCGCACCATATTTTTGTTCAAAAATATTCAGTTCAAACCCGGTACGGACGTCACTGGTAAAAATTTAAAAGTCTTTTACGACAAAAGGTGAGATTGAAAGTGAAAGTTTAGTCTGTTATATATATATATGTATATACTATATTTATATATCTAACTTTTATTATTACACTGAATGTGATATGGCTTTTTTGTTTGCCTTTTTTGGATCAACAAAATATTATTTTAATGATTTAAAATAAACTGCCAGTAATAATAATTATCTGTACTTAAACATATGCAAAGTGAAATCATAAAACGACGCATCAAGAAAGCACCAAATTATTAAACTTTTAATTTACGTAAGATGTATTAAAAGTAATTTTAAAAAACCGACTTTAAAATCGTGCAGATGCCATCACCACATCTGAACCAAATTTATATGGGGCCACCCCTGAGGTACCCCCTTACTAACGAAAAGCATTATAGAAATCGGACAAGGTGGTAAAGAATTATCGCTAAACATACATAAAAAATGAAAAGTTTGAGGATTTTCCCATTGACCCAATTATTAGATTTTGACCAAATTTTCAAGGGACCATCCCGGAAGTACCCCCTTTCCAGCAAAAAAGAATCATTTAAATCGGACATTGTGTTAAAGAATTATCGCTGAACATACTTAAAAAAAATATATACAGACGAATTGAGAACCTCCTCCTTTTTGAAGTAGGTTAAAAAGGATATAATAATCTATATTATTTGTATTAACTAAAAAACTACTATGTGGAGTTATATACATCTTCTTAAATTAATCTTATATGTAAAAATTTGGATTCGATTCCTAGAAGAGTACCTAGTTCACTGTGCAGCCAAATTTATATTTATGGTACAGAATTTTTTGAATAAATAAAGTTTTAGGTTTAATTAAACACCAAGTTTTATCAGGAATAACATTTTCTGAAAAAAGTAACATAAAAAGCAGACTTTTTGCGAGCCACTATATATATTTTAGAGGACAATCCATATTATTTTAGAAAAATAAATAAAATTTTTGTATAAACACATAAATGTGATTTATCTTTTAGAATATTTTATATGTTTGTCAAAGTTTACTAATTTAAAAAAAAAAGAAATATTCTTCAAAATTTTTCTTAAATTTTTTAACACGGTACAAAATACCTTAATCCGTTTATAGTTATGGAAATTAGTAAAGAATTTTAACTCGTTTAAAAAGCGTTCTTTCTCTTTCCATTTCCTATAAAAACTAATAGACCTTTTTGAAATCGGTATTCGCTGACTTTTCTTCTGTTTTATTGCCTTGAAAATGATATGATTTACATAAAAAACAAAAACTGACTTATTATTTTTGTGAAATAAAAATATGTTGTTATTTTCACAATTTTCGACTACTTTTTGTTTCCAAAAAAGAAATACGATGTTCTTCTGTAGATATGAACACATTGTTTAATTGGCTTTTTATTATTTTTTTTTTTTTAATGTTCTTTAGTATTTTCATAATTTGTTAAACAGTATAGCATTGAAACTTCTATACCTGAAAAATTGTGAGTACGCTTTTAATTAATTGTCTGTTTTTTATCTCACAATGTCTCGATAAGAAGTTATATAGAAAAAGTTAGTATTCAATATCATCTAGACAAAAAACAAAAACATGTTTAAATGAATATATTAAATAAATTATGAGTATTCTTTAACAGAGATATATTTATTTGTATTATGGAAATGTTTATGTCGACAAACTTATGTTCGATATTTGTATCAATTTGTAAAAATAACTCTTGTATAATGATAATATTAAATTTAAAGGTTTTAAATAAGGACTTGCAGATATCACAATTCGAAATTTTTTTTATTGGCCATAAACCTTTTTTTGGAATGAAAGCATTAGTTTCTGTTTTTCAGTTAAGCTCCATAAATTCATATTTTAATCTGAACGTTACTTAAGCACAGTAAAGTTGCAACAACTAAACAATATAGTGAACTTTTCGAAAATTTCTAAATGAAAATCAATTTATATTTAAAATTAAATAAGTTAACTAACATTTTTGACCGTTATGAAGTTAATAAAGTTATAAATAACGTCGTTACAAAGATTTATGTTTGAATTTTAAATTTCTATTGATAATAGTTACTCATCTACGTATTACAATAACAATACCTACATGACTTGGCTTTGACACAAAACCCAGTATAGTAAAACTTCTAATCCGAATCAAAATCTTGAAACTATTATTTGGGGACTTAAAATCGTGGTCCACTAGTTGGTGTAGCCTTTTAAAACATTTGGTATAATAATAATAATTATATATCATCAATTACCACTGCCACTGGTAATATCCTAAATTTAAAATAGTGTATTATAATAATAAGACATTAATCATATCTTAAATGGATCGCCTACTACCATGTTTTAGAAATAAATAAAATTTAATTCTTAAATTAATAAAAATATTCAAAATAATATAAGATTCCTTGCGTTATGTTAATAAACATTAAACAAAATTTCTCACGAATTATTTAATATTCTGTCCCGTACTTCCATGTCTCTATTGCTTCGCTGTCAACAAGTTCCGGCAAGACATATTGCATATAAAAAATTTTAATTTTATTTTGTATCTTTTCTTCTCAAAAGCTGTCAATATGAGATATTTTCTCCACTTTTATTC